ATGTTTGACTCCAATCATTGAATTGAAAGGACTGTTCTTCCTGAATTGACGTATCACAAACTTCAACGAGGTACAGTTTCTCGTTCAAAGCAATTAAACGACTTCGAGATGTTAGACCTGTCATTCAAAAATATTAACGTTATGACTGAGGTTCGCGTGACCACTGAATAGCATATTCATACCAGTATCGCACACCGGCTGACTCAACATGATCGGGGTGCTAACGACATCGTTTCCACTGAAAAATGCCTGCATTCCAAGCCGGACCGAATGGAGGCAATTTTCAATCTGATTATGCTGGGAATCAACAGATGGTGGTTGTTTCGGCACAGATCCACCACTACCATCTAAGACTCAGCTTTAAAGCACAATAGTTAAAGACTCATAAATTTTTACCTGACATGAGGACATCCGATGGAATATGCGACTGCGCTCTGCTTGTTGCATCAGATTTGAATGTAATTTCCTGGAGGCTTCTTGTAATGACAATCGCTATGACGATCCTGCAGTTTGAGAACGTGTAAATTTTGTCAAAAAATGCGAAAACAATAAAGTGCTCACTACCTTATTAGTACAATCGTGCTGTTGGTATTACGTTGCTATATATAAGATATTGTACATATTTATATAAAGCTTAGTTTGTTCAAGTCTTCATCTTCATGTTCCTTTGCCGCTATTCCTTTCGGGTCCTGGCAGTATCAAAAGAAATTGACTCTTTGCAGAGACTTTTGTAAAAAAATATCTAGGAAGAATAACCAGAACAAGAACAGTTATAACAACAAGAGAAAAAAACAGTAACAGGATTAGGAACAGTAAAAGGTGCAGAAATCTAAGAGGAAAACGGGTGGACGAGTTCACCAGAGATATAGTGACCAGATTGCAACAGCTGTTGCTGTTTGTTGTATTCGCGAATTTACTTTGTTGCTCCCTTCTGAGATTGGTCTACAACGCTCTCTGGAAAGTTTCGCAGTGGAATGCGACGTGGCCGGCAAGCGTGTGAACGAACCTAAAACAGAAAGCCTATGCCTTCCCATTCTTTTGCCCGTTGCTCTCTTCAAATAAACAGAGACACTGAAGGATGTGGAGAAGTTAAAATACCTTTGGGTCGTGTTTACGGGAGATGGCAAATTGTGAAAGATTTCTATCAGCTGATTGGAGCAGCCACTAATGCTCTGCGTAGGTTAAGAAGAACCACTATGACCAAAGCAGAGTTGAGTCTAAAAACTAGGCTCTTGTTGTTCAAGTCGATCTGCATTCTCATATTCTTCAGTGGTTATGAGTCGTGGATCATGACTGAAAAACTTCGATCTATACTACAAAGGATCGAAATGAACTTTCTGTCACGAATCCCTTGGCTGCGCGTCTCGACATGATCCAGAGCACAGATGTTGGAGAAAGCTTCGGTGTACAACCGCTGATACTTCAGAACGAAAGTCACAAACACAGTGATTTTGGGACGTCTTCTGAATGCGTTCAGAAAAGAAGATGAAGCAACCACTAGTTGCCCAACTGAGCAGGTGAAAATCACGAGGACGGCCAAGAATGACATTGGCTTAGTATCTCGACAAGTTATATGCCTGACTCAGGTTATGTTCTGCGGAAGTTCAGCAGTTGGTAAAGGATCAGAAACGTTGAAAACAGTGTTTTACGCGCGTGCGTGAAAGAATGAGGAATTGTCGAAACTGACTGGATGAGTGAGTGAGTAACTGACCGACTGTGTGGCTTCTATGTCGCTATTGTGCGCCTTTTAATGCTTTTTCATGTACCTGGTGAAAAATGAATTCCATCCGTGATTCTGTTTAAATAATCATCGTTTAAACCTCCAGTGGAATTAAATCAAAGGGACCTCTTTGTATTCAACAGCCCCATTCTGGGCATAGGTGACCTCAGTAGGTAGGAAGACGATGACAAAAGATTAACCCGATTGAATATTGTGTTTAAACGTAAACCCTGCACTCCAGCCCTAGAGCTTCCCGCGTGAGAACCGAAAAGCAGCAGACATACACCAATCAGCCAGCATGTGTCACACGCACAATGGAGGGAAATTCGCGGCTGGTATGAAACTCTGCACTTCGTCTCGCGGTGGACGGGCGTCTTACAGTTAATGCATTGAGATGCCGGAAATTCAGGGGACAAAACAAACCAGAGACGTCCTATTTCGATTCACTGTGACCATTGCGCTGAGACGCTGAGTTAGTAATCGGCGGTTCCGGGTCAAGACGCCAGAATCGTTGGGATAACAGGGCAAAGTGATTGTCCCTAAGTTGCAGCTATGTTCTTCGACCGCTTGCCGTTGTTCAAAACATGATGTCGTCGTTTGAATGCTTTGATTCTGTCATAAAAATACATTTGACAATTCTGAAGAAAGTCAAATTTGCTTGCGCATCAAGAGAAGAACGGCATTGCAGATGGCGCTAAAATATACCCGGCATTCACAACATACCACTTCATGGTAAAACAGGACATATAACAAGAATATCTTATTGGACTGAACAAACGTAGACCGAAATACCTCGCTTCTAAATTCTCATCCAGCGCCACCTCGATTTCGTCGCACACTTCGCTTTGAAAAAAAATTTTGTTCACGTGACGTCTGGGAATGTGCTCGTTCGTGTAAAGGACACATCGTACATGACCGCGTTCACCGTTCGAGCCATCGACCTGAAACAGAGTCGGTTTAAAGAACAGGCTACAGACTCGTCTTCCGTCGAAGAACCTTTACGCACGTGGTCAGCAAGTGGCGATCGAGACTGCTCTCCTCAATTAGACTGTTCTCGACGACGAATGGACAGAAGGCGAACGGCTGTGCGGTTATGCGCAGACCCGGCTTCGAGTACAGGCGGCGGCTGCTGCTGTCGGCTATGTGCCTCTCTGTCATGGTGGTGGTCTGTCGCCAACGAACTCATGCATAGGGCGCCACAAAGTAATTATCCACTTCACTGGATGCGATTCCTCTCGCTCATGCCTCGAGGCAGCACTCATACAGAGAGTGGCGTGCCGTATTTACTGATGCTAGCGACTGCTGCCGCCAGCTTTACTGCTGCCGCCGCCTGCGGCTCTTCTTCGGCGCAGTTGCTCATCAAATGTTGTCAGATGATGCAAGACGAGTTCCGTGAAAAGTCTTGATTTGTTTGCTCAACAACTGCTCACCTCTGTTATGCCAAAAGAACACTTAAACAGCGCCAGTTAGAGAGCACGTGCACATTCAAACATCGGATTGCTCATGCTGCGGCCTTTCTAATCACAGAGATGTGTGGACGCTTGCATTTTACTAATGAAGTTTACAGCTAGATCTATTTCACTTTTTCGACTGTATAAAGCTCAAAATTTATACTGCTTATTTTGCTATGTAAAAAAACAGTGATTAGCAATTTCAACAGGAAAACATATTTCAACAAGTTCACTCCATTCTCCCTTTAGCTGAACAATCGTCGCTTTTTTCGCCGTAACGTCAAGCGATAATGCCTTTTCACAGAAGTAGAAAAACCAAGTTAAAATTCCGTAGAGATACCGCTCTTATGATATGGAGAGATATATCTAGGAAATAAGGGTAATACATGTCTGTGCTCTTTGAGTCAAATGAGTTCTGTCAATCACTGATCAGTTTCGGCAGACCTTTAACATGCAGACGATATGTATATACTGTCGGCGCTCTTGAACATTCCTTTGCCATGGCAGAACGCGATACTGTTACTGATCCCGTATTATCATCATCAGTAGCGTGGTAGGTATGAAAAGTCAAAAGAGAGGTATCTGAGTGGTTTTCTATTGCTATAGGTTCGCCACTGAGATCTGCTTTCGCCACCTTTGCTGTTCAA